CAAGTTCTTCGCCGCCCACAGCCTCAAGGACTCCATCATCAGGGGCATCAACGTCCTGAACACCCCCGTCCAGGCCTTCTCCATCAACAGCGTCACCAACCTCGGCATCTACGACGTCAACCTCGACAACTCCCTTGGCGACACCCGGGGCGGCCACAACACCGACGCGTTCGACGTCGGCTCCTCCGACGGCGTCTACATCTCCGGCGCCGTCGTCAAGAACCAGGACGACTGCCTCGCCGTCAACTCGGGCACCAACATCACCTTCACCGGCGGCGACTGCTCCGGCGGCCACGGCCTCTCCATCGGCTCCGTCGGCGGCCGCAGCAACAACGTCGTCGACACCGTCGTCATCTCCGACTCCAAGGTCTCCAACTCGGACAACGGCGTCCGCATCAAGACGGTCTACCGCGCCACCGGCTCCGTCTCCAACGTCCAGTACAAGGACATCGCCCTGTCCAACATCGCCAAGTACGGCATCGTCATCGAGCAGGACTACGACAACGGCAAGCCCACCGGCCACCCCACCGACGGCGTCCCCATCACCGGCCTCACCCTCAGCAACGTCACCGGCACCGTCGCCTCCTCCGCCATCGACGTCTACATCCTCTGCGACACCGGCGCCTGCAGCAACTGGAAGTGGACCGACGTCGGCGTCACTGGTGGCATGCAGTACCCCAACTGCACCGGCATCCCCGAGGGCAGCGGCGCTGCTTGCTAAATGCCTCTTACGAACGGGGTCTCAGCCAAAGCATGCGTTGGTGTCGTGAAGGCGCCACAGGCGTGGCTTCACCGACCCCGCGGGCTACTTTTAATGTTATTTCATCCCGATTAGCGGGCCATAGTTAGTTTCTCGATAGATCGACTATTTTACACTTCATTTTACACTTCATTTTACAGACGCTGCGGTTCATCACAGCTGGGTAGCCTGCTACATACAGGGCATGGCCCTGGGAACGTCGTTGTGTATCACGAGATATTTAAGTGTTCGTTACTGCACCGTAATCAACAGCGTCGTTTTTGTTACGTGACAATATGCTTTTCTACTAGGCCCCCTTTGTACCCAGTGAGTCGCCCGTTGGTATGGAATTCCAGCTTAACGCTACGTTATTCGTGTATACTTTTGGCGGCGGTCTACATACCTGATCCACACTGCATCGCAAATTCAACGCAACTGGTTTTGTCCATTATTCTGTCGCTCACAATCACCCAACGGTAAATCACGTCCCAAAACGGAGAGCATTAGACTCGATGACATAATTCTAGACGCAGCATCCCTGGACCCGGAATGGATCCTCGTCTCCACTGGGGCCACAAAATGCTGGATACGCATCCGCAGCACAAGACACAAACAAAACCCGGATATCAAAAAAGGAAATTGCAATGCCACCCAAAAACTGCAAAAAAAATCTCCTCGACGGGGAATTGAACCCCGGTCCCCTGCGAATCGTTTGATTGACAAGCAGATATCCTCACCACTAGACTATCGGGGATTATTGGATGTTTTCATCCAGTGATAGCACTTGGGCGGACGGGTAGTAACACTAACTATACAGTCTAAACGTCTGCTTACCTTATCACTCACAACTCTGAATAATAAGTCGATAGCTAACCTATCAAACTTTAAGGGGGTATAAGGTTCGTACCTCAGAGGCTTGTAATAGGCAGTACGCCTATTAAGTTGTTAGATATTAGAGCTAGGCACAGGGTGTATGTCTAGCAATACACAAAGCCAGTAAGGAGGGAAGATTAGGTTAGTTATAGCGATCTCCGAGCTGGCTGAGCGGGCTTAAAATTTCAAAGTCTATTGACAGGTGGGTACGTAGAATATTTCTCATCGTGTAGAATGTACAGGTAATATGTTTATTGCGGTGTTAACTATATACATGAAGGTAATGTGCTTTATGAGGACTCGGTCGTGAATGCTGTCATTGTAAAACTCAAAGTCAATTGTCTTAGCAAGAAAAAACGGCAGGGCCAGGTATAGTGTAGGTTGACGCTTCATGAAGTTAACATTCGTCCAGTGTAATCTCATGGGGAGTGGCTACGTACGTCTGTAGGCATCGTAAGTGACCCCAGGATCGGTTGCCTTGTATGCACCAGGAAAGGCCACCAAAGATGTAGCCGTCTTGGTTCCGGAGCCGGTAACTTGCAGCTGGTGGCAGCCGGGGTAGAACTGGGCACCCGGGTAGGAGGAGGCAGCGTGGAGAGCAATCGTCTCGTGGCGGACCAAGTAATAACCGGGCTTCAGACAAGACGGGATGGTGTATTGCACAGCAGAGCCGGCAACCATGAGGGGGCTCTGTTGAAAGCTTCGAGTCAGCAAATACGCGCCATCTGTCGTGCTTCGTTCCCGGGTCCGAACTTACAGAAGCCCATGTATTGGAAGTTCCGGTGCGTCCACCTTCCTTGATCTTAAACCAAACAGCACTGTAACAATGAGTTAGCCATGCTCACTACCAAGACCTCGGACTGCCTACGAGGTCCCAGGCTGCCAGTCATTGCATCCGGCATCGGGGCACCGCGCCATGTAGGTGATTACAGGTCCGACGTGGGACTCGGGCCACAGGGTCCAGCGAAGCGTGACGGTCGAACCCGCCGCAGCTGGGGCGTGGAGCGCCGCGGGCTGCGAGCCGGAGATGCCTCCTGCCGTGTACCCTCCGCATTGGAGATCGATCAAAGTAACGCTCTCGACAGGGCCGTTGCCCTGAATAGGGCGAGATATTCTCTTGGGCTAGAAGGAATATTGGTTCGTTATTCAACTCATTCGGTAAGGAAACAAGAATCAACTTACGGCAGGATTGGTGTAGGGATCTGCATATGGCTGGTGTTGTTAGTTTCTCAGTTTTTGTAGCGCATACTTCTCCGAAAGAAAACACCCAAATAGGACGGTTCACCTGATAGAACTATGTGGCAATTAGATTTGTTGCTGACCTTGGTGCGAGGTACGGGAGTAAACAAACCTGGTAGTAGGTTCCGCCAATGGTAGCATTGTCGACGTACCCGTGACCGGCGACGAGAGCCGCAAAGCCCAGAATGCAGGCAACAATCTGCATCTTATTCAAGTATTGATTCTCTAAAGACCTGCTTCTTATGTAGGAGTGATCCGAGACTATTGCAATCAGTTGCTGCGCGCAAGAGTAACTAAAAGGGAGTTGCAAGTACTGTTGGAGGCTGGGGACTTTAAGCCACCGGCCTTCTCAGACCTAGGAATCTAATTCATATTTATTAGCACGTTTGCCTCTTTGGACAGAAGCCTTTGTTTCTTGCTTCAATCATCACCCATACTCAATATTCGACTCAAGACACCACGGCAACCAACAATGTGCCTCGCATGGCTCTATCGGCTCTCTTCCGGCCGTAGCATCTCGTCACGAGAACCACGCGGTAAACGCAAAAGGAAATATCGGAACCAGGCAAGCGAGTGCCATGGCTCAAGTTAATTATTTCAGCAGGGGCCGGTTGCCAATGAGGTTGGGCGAAACCCGACAGACACTTTGGGGGTGGCGATTCCACCAATCAACTATTCTCACAGCAAACCGAGAATCGCTGCTAGTCTTCTGCCAACGCAGCAAGTTCTTTTATTAAAGAGCCAACTAGAGAGATCAAGCCAATGCACACACACTGCATGTGTAGACTCCAAGAAGCGCTATGCTTCGGTCCGCCATGTGCCGTGAACTTGGATTCTGCATTGTCACCATGTCTGGCCCCTGAGCGTTGAGGATGCATGAAGACCTACGAGAGATGCCGAGCGCTAATGTCTCAATCACTTATTGAAGTCATGGGACCGGCCGGGCAGCTGGAAAGCTCGGCACTGAAACTCGCACAGTGTTTACAAAACTTCAAACCAACAGGGATCTGCGGAAACACAACTGCAAGACTCCGGCTTCAGAAAATTTCCGCAGCGGCAGCGGCTATAGCCTATTTTTTCCCCCCTAATTTCGAAACGTTTCACTGAAAATGTCGAAACTGCAGCGTTCGATTCGAAGCAGCGACTGCATGAACATCCAGAGAGTCCGGATTGGTAGACTCTTGAGCATCGCCACACTTGTTTCCGTTCCAAGTATGACTAATTCAACCATCTGTGCTTCCGGTCAGAGCCCAGAACCAATACAGCATCTCAACCAGATGCGGTAAGCTGCACAGCCGCAACTGTGTGCTAGCCTGCAGAAAACCGTCGTTTGGTGCGGGGCTGAGTGGTAGCCTCTTCAACAACGTGGATTTCAACTATCACGTGCGAGGCATAGGTATTCTTCCAATGAAATTGATCAGAAGTTGTCCTGTGGTATCTTGAGTTAAGGTTACGAGCCTGGCCGATATACATAAAATCTGCCAGCAAAACGCATATGTTGTAACATACACAGCCTCTTATTCTATATTACCTACTACAATCGAGCGCACGCCATGTTCGAAAACTCTATTGCTGCAACTCGGCTATAGACATTTTGGCTAATGTAGCGGAGCATTTCTCCCGGGAAAGAGAGTCAATAGATATGCTATCTCCACGAAAAGCTAGTAATAACTGCGGAATGCCCGGCTTACCATACAGCGGCAGCAGCTGGAGCCTGGGAAGATGGGCCTCAGAGCCATGGATTAAACGTACTCAAAGGCGAGTTGGTGCTCTTGACGAGATGCAATATATCGCATTTGCTTCGAAACAGGCAACTTGATATAAGACATGCTACCCATTTTTGGAGCGTGAAGTCAACTTGGCGCCAAAGATGAAGACACAATGCATTGCAATGTAGTCTCAGCCATGTCGAAGATGGCGGATGAAATAGTGTAATTGACTATTAGGCAACAAGCTCATCCCTCTATGTTATTGAACCGACTTCCTGGCTAGCACATTTCACAAAGTCCCATCGAAGAGTTAGTTGCTTCATTTATTGAGACCTCACTGAAACCCAAAACGACAATCAACCCCAACTTACACTACAGATCATACTTCCAGACCAAGGTTTGTTGTCGTGGTCACCATCCCATCACGTTTTGTAGTTGAGCTTTGTCAAAAATTGGGAAAGTCTATCAGTTTTTTTCTCTCTACTTTCCAGAAATCTTCTTCTAAACTAAGGTAACTCTGGGCCACTAAATCTCGTGTTTGAGACACTGGAAATAGGCTGCAAAGTTAATCGCGGAAGCTCAACGTCACACGTGTATGCGGAGTCTGCTCCGCCCTCAGGATCGTCTAACATCAGAAACTCTATATTGACGCAACGATGCAGCCGAAATAATGGCTATGTCATGGGTATCGCGTGGAGTTTCATGGTACCATATGTATTACCCGCAGCGTCCGTCTGAAAGATGTTGTCTACCGTCAAGTGGAAGGCTTTGCCGATGAGTCGATCATTTGTAAAGCTTGGCACAAAAGTAATAAGAACTTTTGGTCCCGCTTTCTCCACATGATTTTCGATGAGCTTACTGATTGAGCGAGTCACAGCGTCGTCTGTATACAACAGGCCCTCATCGTAAATTCTCAGCCCTATCTTTTGAGTCATGGTCGGATTTGAACTGGAGGTGTAAATTCTTTGGACCTTTGGTGAGTTTAGCCAGGAAAACATTCCTGTCACAACGAAAAAAAGTCAACATAGGGCTACGGTCCAGATTATCAAAGCTGCAACTTACTACAGGATGATTCCATGATGAGAATGACCTTGCAAGGTGGAGATCACCTGGCGACGAGGCCAGACACCGCGAGGGTTGAGATCGATCAGCTCATGGCCGGGGATGTGTTTTGATGACTCATAGCCCATAGATAATGGAGACAGTGCTCAATGCCATGCCGTGAATACTATGCCTTGGAATCAAAGCCAGGCATATGTGCTCTCTTCGACCGGAGGGCCGGAAATTTCCGTTCTCCGCGTGTAGAATCGAGTTGAACTACAATTTGTGCTATGACTCGTTTTAATTTAGGCTTGGCGGTATGAAGATGAGCATTCCCCTCGTCTAGACTGGTCATCAATATGGACTAGTTAGCATGGCGATTGTTTTGCTATCCCCTTGCCTCTTACTAAGTCATTCCATCTTTGCCAGAATAAAGCCGCTGATCTCTTCCTATGTCATCTCGCTATCAACAAAGTTTGTTTTCACGACTCCGTAATTCGTATCACCAGGCTCTACATAATTACATCATGTCTAGCGTATCAAGATCTGACCATTCCTAGCCTTCTTCTGTGGGACAACCATCTTAACAGCCATAAGACTAGCCTTGAATCCTTTTTCGTTTTATTTCGCGGCTAAACTTTCGCTGCCTTACATACTCTTACGCTCCGTTTCAGTGAATGCGTGAGCGAATATTTCGAAAGGTCTGTGCCATCTATCTTGCCCTGGCATATCGTCACACTAGTGTGGAAGTATGCTTGCGGGGTGATCATCAATCATGTGGCAACAGCACGGGGACTGATGCGTTGAACTTGCTAGGCAGCGGGTTAGTAGAGCGGCCGAATAAAGGCGAGGGGGCAATGTGGCGAATTGACGAGCAATTGTTGAAAAATTTGCTACGTGCACGTTAACTAGTCCGTATGCCATGGTTCAGATCAGAGGATAGTTCTTTATTTAGAAATACGGAAGCAGACATGTTCAGGTTGATGTATGGTTATCTGTTCGGGACAGATTATAGCCTGCCGCAACGATCGTCTGATTATTCCTGTAACTAGTCTGGCATGCTGGGTCAGGCCTCGCACTAATGGTTCGCGTGAGTCATCCCACGAGTGTGGCGTCGGTTGAGAATTTGCAACACATCGAATGATGACAGCTCTGGCTGTTGGTGATTCGGGACAGTTACTCATCATGGTGTTGAGGAAGACCCTTGGCTTATCATTACGGGTTTAGTCTTGCCTTTAGTGGATTGTCAACACTCAGCTCATGATCCCATTTTCAATCGAAGTCCCATTCCGGTATTGAGTATGTTGCTCTCTTGTCATGGCTCTACACCCTCGCCAGTATATTCGAGTCCGCGCAGAGGACTACCCGTTCTGTCGCCTTGGCAGCAACATGAATCAACTGCCAATGGCAAGGGTGTTGCTTGTATACCTTTGGCTTGGGGTTAGACTTTCAATCTGACAGCTATCAGACCGCCTGCTCAATCGGTAGCATGAGCACGTCGCAATAAAGTTACGGGGTGGGGTTAGAAGACCGGAAAGATGTCTCTGGCTACTATGCCACTATTCGATGTCTTGGACGAAGGTCTCGAATTTTAAGAAGAAAGGCGAAAACAAACTGTGAGATCAACTGCATAACGCAACAGCTACTCGGGTTTTTTTTCTCTGCTGCATTTGCCTCCGTGGAGTCCCTTTTGGTCACTCGGCTGGAAGAGACCAACACAGGTTCGCATGGATCTCGAATTGCCATTAACCCCTGCCCATGTCCACACCCACTCATTTGAGATCAGATTACTCCTCTTATGTGGGTGAGGAGTAATCTGAGATCATACGAGTGTGCTTTAGTTTCTTCTATACGCAGGATAACCACAAAATCCATCTAAGAATCCGAGTTTCATCAGGATCAGCGAGTGTTATCAGCTCCCAAGTCACAGTGCATCACTTCTGGCGCATGAACCATCTCGGACTGCGGGACATCACGTGATCCCCATTGTCTGAGTTGAGTATCTGTCATCTTGTCTCACGAACAATCAAATGGGGAAAGACTCGTCAGAAATGATTCTAGATTTCTCTAGATTTCTTTTCAAGGTGTCAATGCGGTCTTTGCATTGATTATACATGTTGCGGATTTGCCAGGCTCACGGCCCGGAGTACGTCTGTTTGATGGAACACCTTCAAGAATCACGAAAAGCTAATTCACTTGCCCCTGGAGCGATGCCTAGAAAGAGCCAAAGTTCTGCCGGCGTCCAAGCAAAATACCTAGAAATAGTCCCACAGAGGTAAATCCAAGAGAAGGAGTGAAAACTCGGCTATGCTTGCTTAGAATGAAACTTGGCGTTATGTGAATCAAGCGTCTCTAATACGTCAGGCACAACTAAAACTCTTGGTAAAACACGGGATCTTCGACCGCCCCCGAAAGATCTTACTCGCGTATACTATCAACCATACCACCCATTCGTTCATGCGGCTCTTTGCTCATGTTTAATACGTTCACAAACACTTATTACTTTTAGTTTCTCTCCCTGAAATAATCTTTCTTGAGCCAACTGTGCATCGATGGAAAAGCACACTTCAAAACTGCCATTTGTCATTATACGAAATGGTTACCGAAAACGAAAAGGATGCCGTATCTGATGGGGAAGACCTCGACCCATCTAAACTTCTAGGAGATGTCACCGAAATTAGTTCGTGGAAGGCATACTGGGTAAGTAGCGGTTACTGGTTATTAGCTCACTACTGACACGTTGACGATCTTAGAGAGTTTTTACATATGCCGGGCCGGTAGAACGCGCTCTCATGGCCGTGGCCGGATTCGCTGCAATCGCTTCTGGAGTCGGCATTGCTTCTCAGAACATCATCTTCGGCCAGTTCATTACTGTTTTTACTGACCTCGAAACCGAACCTGCTGGTTCCGAGGGCTTTCGTAGATATGGCTCGAACTTGGCGTACGTTCACAGTTGGTTCAGATATGTTTATATGAGAATGTTTGCTGACTTTGACGACAGCCTCTATCTCATCTATCTTGCCATCGGCAGGTTCGTGATGGCTTATATTTATAATACGTTGCTTCACTACACCGCTTACCGCATTGTTCGGAACATTCGCCATGAATATATCAAATCGGCATTGCGACAAGAAGTGGCCTACTTTGATTTCGGGACTGGTGGCTCCATTGCGACACAGGCCTACTCGAGCGGCCGCCTTGTCCACAATGGTATTTCCGAGAAGCTTGGGCTCACAATACAGGGTATCTCTGCTTTTGTCAGCTCCTTCATTATTGCTTTTCTCACAAACTGGAAGCTCGCTTTAACCGTCTGCTGCATCGCTCCTCTCACCGTCGCTGTCATGGCCGTCACATCCTTCATTGAGGCTGGCTATGAGACGAGGATCCTCAACCACCATGCTATGGCCAACTCCTTTGCTGAAGGTGTTATTTCCAGCATCCGAACTGTTCATGCGTTTGAGATGAGAAACAGACTTGTCAAGAAGTTTGATACCTTCTTGGCCGAGGCTCACCGATGGGGCGATAAGAGCTCTTTGCCTTTAGGCATTCTATTCTCGGCAGAGTACACCATTATCTATTGCGGTGATGCGCTCGGATTTTGGCAAGGCATCCGCATGATTTCGAGCGGAGAAATCAAAAATACTGGAGACGTTTTCACGTAAGCCTGCATAATCACAACTTCTTCAATCTTGCTATACAAGCAATAGCTAACCCGACCGTCATGTAGCGTCCTTCTGTCTGTAACCGTTGCAGCTATTAGCATTACACAGCTGGCTCCGTACTGCATAGAGTTCACCCGCGCTGCTTCTGGCGCTGTTCAGTTGTTTCTTCTGATTGATAGAAAGAGCGCCATTGACCCCTTTGACCCGTCTGGAGACCAGCCAAACCTGGAAAAGGGAGACGTGGAACTTGAGCACATCACCTTTGCCTATCCTACTAGACCCAACGCCACTATTCTGGAGGACTTTTCACTGAAAGTCCCCGCAGGCAAAACCACTGCCTTGGTGGTGAGTTAAACCCATTCGCTGGTAGACACATATTGTACCGACAGAAGATAACAGAATCTTTCGACAGGGCCAAAGTGGTTCTGGCAAGAGCACAATTGTCGGCCTCCTTGAGAGGTGGTACAACCCAGCATCAGGTACCATCAAGATAGATGGTCGGCCCATTGAGACTTTGAATATCGGTTGGTTAAGAAGGAACGTCCGTCTGGTGCAGCAAGTGAGTATCCTCGAGACAGATGTTTTACGTTTCAACTGTTCAGTGCTAATGATACGTGTCTTTCACCAGGAGCCGACACTGTTTCGGGGGACTGTGTTTGACAACATTGCTCATGGTCTTATCGGCACAACGTGGGAACACCAATCCAGGGAAAAAAAGATGGAGCAAGTCCAAGAGGCCGCCAGGATAGCCTTCGCTGACGACTTCATATCCCAACTACCCAACGGATATGATACAGAGATAGGCCAGAGGGGCGGTCTCCTTTCCGGAGGCCAGAAGCAGCGAATTGCGATTGCCCGTAGCATTGTCTCGCAGCCAAAGGTCTTGCTTCTCGATGAGGCAACTAGTGCGCTTGACCCCCACGCCGAGGAGATCGTCCAGAAAGCACTGGACAAAGCATCCATCAATAGGACCACGATCGTCATCGCCCATAAGCTGGCGACAATCCGTAAGGCGGACAACATCGTTGTCATGTCCAAAGGCCGCATCATCGAGCAGGGGACACATGAGAGCCTCATTACACAAGATGGCGCGTACGCCCGGCTCGTGAAAGTCCAACAGCTCACCGGTTCAAACAAGGCCTCGGCAGAAGGCAGCGAGGATGGGATATCCATTGATGACAAGTTGAATGAGTACAACGAGAAATCATCCACCCCGTCCTCTACCGCCGATCTCGACCACGTGGACGGCCAGATCAACCGTGAGGACTACGATACGCACAACCATGATGGGCTCATCATGGTTGTATATCGATTGATGAAGGAATCTACGGACCTCTCTGTGTCGTATGCTGCTACCGTCATCGGCTGCATTTTGTGCTGTAAGCATCCTCAATCCAACCACTATTCTCCACTGACTCTGACCGCGACCCTACAGCCGGCCTGTTTCCTGCTCAGGCTATCCTTGTGGCATACATGGTCGAGGTCTTTACCCTGTCTCCTTCCCAGATGACCGTTCCCGGCAACTTCTTTGCGTCCATGTACGTCGTCTTGGCAGGTGCATGCCTCATATCCTGGTTCCTTGTCGGTTAT